CTTAGGTGACACTGACATAACGGTATGTAGTCATAGTTGTTAATTATTTAAATTCTATAAAATTCTAATGAAATGTTTATAATCGAACCAAATTTATGTATTATTTTATTATTATTTGATAAAAGTAAATCAATAACAGTAAAATTTAAACATCAAAAAAATCTAAAAAAATTGTGTGGACCACACTAAAACCGAGTTTTATAAAGAGGACGACTTTATAAAGAACTAAATCTAAACTAAAGAAGGTCCATTACATAAATTCATCTTATACGTTCATCATAATTATCATTTAATAATTTAAAATAGAAAGTGAAGTAACTATTTCCTACTCTCCTGAAATAACTTTCCGTTACCCCTAACTTAGCCTTACCTTAAAATTTAGTTAAAAAAACACTAAGTAAATATAAAAGTCAATCAATCTATAGTTTAACTCTATGTACTCGTATAGTCTATCTATTTACTTATATAGGGTTTTCCAATAAGAGGTGTTATTTTAGTATTCAAAGAAAAATGCAATTTTTTAAGATAAATAATCGGCTGTTTATTTTATAATAAAGAGGAAGGTATGCCGTTAATAATGGAAGATAACATCAGCCAAATGGCTACCACGACCACGCTTACAGGACCATATCCTTTTAATGAAATTTTGCATAACCAAATCGCAAAGTGGCTGCCCTATGTCCTCGATAGCCTCACGAATTCCATCTTGAGGTCTTGAATCGACGCTGGGCTGTAGGCGTAGACCTTATCTTTCACGTGGTCCCAAAGGAAGAAGTCGCAAGGTGTTAAATCACAAGATCTCGGTGGCCAATTGTGATCACCTCTTCGAGAGATAACACGGTCAGGAAACTTTTCCAGTAAAAGAGCAATGGTTTCGTTGCTTGTGTGGCACGGAGCGCCGTCTTGTTGAAAGTAAACGTTGTCCAGATCAATACCATCCAACTCCGGCCAAAAAAAATCATTAATCATATCTCGATAGCACAATCCATTCACCGTAAGTGTTGATCCAGCCTCATTTTCGAAAAAGTAATAATAATAATAATAATAAATAAACAATCACACGTTGAGGATGGAGAGGCTTCTCAACAATAACTCTTGGGTTTTCCGAGCCCCAGATGCGACAATTTTGCTTGTTGACGTAGCCTCCTAGGTGGAAATGGGCCTCATCAGTCAAGAAGATTTTTCGAATGAATTGATGAGGAATTTCGAAACCCAATCAGCAAAAACACGACGTTGTTGATGATCGGCCGGCTTGAGTTCTTGTGTTAACTGAACTTTATAAGCCTTAAGACCCAAGTCTTTATGCAAAATACGGTGTAATGACGTTTGTCTGTTTGAGTGTCTTCAACACTTTGGGCTACAGCAGCAATATTCTCAGTTGTTCTTGAGCGACGTGCACGGGTTTTATTCTTTACATCACTAACTTGTCCCAACAGCTCGAATTTTTCCACCAACTTCTGTATTGCGGTCCGACAAGGTGCTTCACGACGACCAAAAAATGCTTTAGTTTTGCGAACTGTGACTGCAAGATTTTCACCATTTTCCGAATTTTAATAATTTCAATGCGTTGTTGAAGTGTGTATCGTTCCATTTTTAGTAATGGCGTAGTTTCTACTTGTCAAATGTCAAAAAATAAAAGCTTCAAAAGTGACAGCTACCGAAATACCGGGTGATTCAAAATAACACCTCTTGTTGGAAAACCCTTTATTTACAAATGGCAGAATATTCAAATTAATCATTATAAGTAACGGTATAGGTACAATTTGGCAATTTATATCATGGCATAGAAGTCTTAGAGTCTTGAGTAAATGGGTAAACAAGTTTATTAGCTTGTCGCTCTAGTGCCAAGATAACGGCATCGCATCTCAGTAACAAGATTGCATACGGAACCCTTGCTTGATATCCAGCGGGACCGTTATATCCCTAAGTGGACACTTCCGAACACGCGACTCAAGCCTTGAAGCTACGGTCTACATTCCTTCTAGTTACACCACTTCGTCATACTATCTCTAACGTAGATGATGCAGCATTCCTGTGGTATCGCCAGTCGTGATTATCGGTAAAGTAATCATAGTCTGGGTAAATACAAATATAGGTATTTTCTTAAAAAAATCGAGTCATATAATAATATCAAAAATAAAAGATTTGAATCAAATTCTTAGCATTTTCACATGTATTTTTTTATTGAAAGTAGTGATACTCGCTAAAAATAAACAGCTCAGACTTTGTTTGATAAGCTCTTTATTGTATGAAATTGATTTCTTAGCAAAAATTAGCAATGCATGGTCTTAATTAGTTTTATTCTAACTATGCTTTAAGAGAACGAAAACTTTACACAAACCCGTCTGGTCAGTGTGGTATAGCAGGCCAAAACCTCCTTTCTAAGGAGAGGCCTATGACCGGCACTCGACTGTAAAGGGCTGTTGATGATGATTATGCTTAAGTTACTGTTTTCGACATTTGTTTTTGGTACCTCAAACCCAAATTTATATGACCGAATTCAATTGTATCTATTAAAACCCCTGAAGTACACTTGGCATATTCACTAAAAGACCTACATATAAACAAAAACGTTATAAAAAGTAAATCGAGAACGAACACGTCTTATCGTTGACCTAATCTAGTGGTAAGCTGTGAAAAAATTCAGCCGCTATTAAAAAGAAAGAAAGCTGAAATTCCTTTTTTTACAAAACCGAGAAGCTAACAAAAAGTGCAACGAAGAGAATACTTACAAAATGTAGGTAATACAGCAATAGTTGATATCAGGTCATTTTTTTTTCAACTTTCCGCTTGAATCAACCTTTCTTATTACAGAATTTTTATTCTACAGCTTTATAACGAATCATTAAGTCATTAGTGCCAATAATAACTTAAAATCCCACACGTAATCTGCATTAGTTCGTTGTTTAAGAACATTAACAGGGTAAGCGTGGGAATTTCTTGATAAGTTTTTTTCACAAGTCGTTGGAGCGTTGCAAATACACTAGTGATCGTTGGTGCAGCGGTGTCATCGACTCCGACTCGAAATCGTAAGCACGATCGACAAAGTCATCAGATTTTTATATGAAATTGTTATTTTGTGCATCTAAAATATTAATATTATACACTTAATGTATTCATTATTACAGTTCATACTAAGTACTTGTATACTTTATATATATATATGTATATATATATATACCTTCAGAAACGTACGTTAGCGCTAATTTGTATACCTAAGTATTTTCTTTGCTTTTCCTACCGATGCCATACTTTCTCGTCAAACTTTAATTTTTAACATACCTATCTAATCCCAATTTTCATGTAGTGCTTAGTTGGCGGCTTAGGTATTGCTATAGACTTGCTAACTATTATTCGTAAGTGTAGGATCTAACTAAGGAACCTACACATACCTTAACTTAAATACACTTTATCATTCATAAAAAACTTCTCTTTAAAACTTTTATGTCCAAGTTGACACTAAATCATGACTCATGATTTAGTGTCAACTTGGTCATCAACATCGCTAAGTTAAACCAGCTCCATAAATTACACCTAGCTTAGACTTGTTTTTAAGTTGACAAGGACCGGCTAAGATATTATTTTTTACATTTATTGATAGGTCTAAAGATAGACTCTACATAATTTATATGTATTCAGATATTTAGATCGTCATGGCAGCGTGTTCCAAATTAATTTTAGCGACCAAAACAGTCGTTGAGACCTAACCATCGTAAACAGTGGGCGACATTCTACTTTGTCCAAAACTTTGCGGTCAACGGCCCAAATCAGAGTTTGCGTCACCTTATTATTCCGTATTATTAGCAAGCGACAGTCGTGAATATGTCCAGACATTGGCTCTCTGCTAACGAATCGATTTGCAACGGGTCAACTGCTAACCGGCGTTTGAGCAGCCTTTCCTTTTATGGTTCTGCTACGAAAGAAATTTTCTAGTATCTATCGTTGCTACTATTACTTTTATATTACTATTAAAATTTATTTCATAACATTTTTTTCCATACTATTTATTGCCGTTATTAAAAAGATAAAAATACAATTATAAACGACGTTAAATACAGATATTCATAAACCCTTTTAAAAAAAAAGTTGAACCGACTTCAAACAACACCGACAAAGAGCACTAAAAATTAAAAAATAATTACGAATCTAAGTAAAAAACTATAATAAGTACCCTCAATGTAACAGGTAACATTATAATACCAATAGTCCCTTCTAGTCTGTTTGAATTCGGTGCCAAGCTCGATGCACAATAAGTAATACTGGTCTATGTCAGCTTTATATTAGCACAATGAAAAATTAAGAATTCAAAATAATTCTAATGAAACATCGAAGATTTTTAATTATTTTTTAATTTTAGGTGAAATTAAAAAAAAACTAAAGTAACTCGATTCTTAACGGATTGTAAAATTTTTGCTTGTGCACACCATTTGCTATGTATAAGTGGGTCCATAATTCGAAAATGCACTAAAGTTGTAAAATTTGCTCTTTGCGAGTGCCTACGTAATTACATCAAGTCATCATCATCATCATCATCATCAACAGCCTTTAATAGTCCACTGCTGGACATAAGCCTCTCCTTAGAAAGGAGGTTTTGGCCTACTATACCATGCTGGCCAGACGGGTTGGTATAGGGTATGTGTCAAGTTTTCCTTCTCTCTGCAGTGCTGTTGTTCTGCGTAGTTTTTTCCCTTAGTTGACTCTTACAACACCCACGGGATGAATAGGGGTGGTGACAATCTGTATTCTTAATCCGTCACCACACATCAAGTAGGTAGGATATATTTAGATTCCCCACGTAGGTAGTGTCTAGTGGTAATCTTGATTCGAGTTATATATTACACGCATGCTGCAGCTCACGTACGTAGGCTCATTTGTCTAATCAGAGGTTTGCCGTAGCTCAGTAGAGCCGTGCAACCGGGAGTCGTGTACTTTATTAACGACTACTCTGTAATTTTCTGTTTATTGCTAAAATTGCTTACTTAACTTTTGGTTTATTGCAGAGCCACCTAACAACTCTAATCCACCCGGCGAGCTTCCAGTTACAATTGAACACCAGCAAGACACCACTACGTCCAGCAATTTGACGAGGAACAACGATAACTGTGACAAGACTGGTACTTGCTATAATGGTAAGTCACATTGTTTTGTCAACCGGTATGCGTCACAAGTCTTGTGATGAATACCGCCTTTATTTATGCAATTTTGAAACATGTATGTATTAATCATGTATTTTTAGTGTCAGTCCTTTGCAAGGATACCAGAATAGCCGTACAGGTGCGTACGAACAAACCGTTTAATGGACGTATCTACGCTTTAGGACGTTCTGAGACCTGTAACATTGATGTTCTCAACAGCGACTTGTTCCGACTTGATCTTACCATGGCTGGCCAGGACTGCAATACTCAGAGTGCTGTGAGTATTTTTAATAATATACTGGAATCAGTATCATATTATTATTTTCAAAACAGACCTTTATCAGGGAATTTTTTTTTTAGACTGGAGTGTATTCCAACACAGTTGTTCTTCAACATCACAGCGTCGTTATGACAAAGGCGGATAAGATTTACAAAGTCAAGTGCACATACGACATGAGTTCTAAAAACATAACATTCGGAATGGTGCCAATCAGGTTAGTCGGCGATTCACACCGTATCGCTAGAATTTACATTAAGAATACAATATTCATTCACTTTAAAAATGCTATGTTAGACATTTTACCGTATAATGTATTCATGGACGTCAAGAGACGTTACGTGATATGTTAAAGTAATATGAAAAACGGGAGCTGTCTCGACATGCCGTCATGTATCTAAAGGCGATTGTCATTCTATTGATCTAATATCGCTGTTGAATTGTAAACACGTAACAATTAGATTCACATAATGTAGACAATCCCAACGGGTTGAATAATTTATATCAAACATCAATGTCAAGTTTGAAAGTGGAGGGAATTTCCATCATACTTAATACATAAACGTGCGGTACGTTTTTTAAAAGCAGTGTTTTAGTTAAGTCGATTAATAAATATTTTATTTATATGAAATCTCTTTTATAAAACTGAATTTATTGCACAGGGATCCGGATATGATTTCTATTACTGCTGCGCCTGAAGCGCCTCCGCCACGCATCCGTATCTTGGATGCTCGCCAACAAGAGGTCGAGACCGTTCGTATTGGAGACAGACTTACCTTCCGCATCGAAATTCCCAAAGACAGTGAGGAAACTAATCATATTTGGTACATTCATTTATTTAAAACTTTGGCATGGCTCTGATGTCGATACTTTGTATTTCAGCTCCTTACGGCATATTCGCGCGCAGTTGTGTGGCTATGGCGAAAGATTCCAAGAGTACTTTCCAGATTATTGACGATGAAGGGTGAGTATATATATTTTTTATATATTAAACTTGAATCGACTTTAAAAGACGCGTATGTTCTCAATTCGGTGTGTTGATGTATCATGAGATATTTGCGCCAATTGTGAATAATATGTAGGACCTACAATTTCTAATAAAAGTTTCAAATGACATGATTAAGCACGATGAAGTTAGTTTCAATTTTATAACAGATTTTATGGTAACATTTATTCTCTTGATTCTAGATGCCCCTTGGACCCCTCGATTTTCCCAGCATTCACACCTGACGGTGATGCTCTTCAATCCGTGTACGAAGCTTTCCGATTCACAGAATCTTATGGTGTCATCTTCCAGTGTAATGTCAAGTATTGTCTCGGACCTTGTGAACCGGTGAGTGGAACGATATTTTTAGTAAAATCTTAATGTAGTTTCTTTTACCATATTACGTGTTTACTTATGTAAACTTCTTTGATTTCAGGCGGTGTGTGAATGGGGTCGGGATTCTTTGGAGTCTTGGGGCAGAAAGAAACGTTCGCTGCCTCACAACGGGACAACCGAAGCACACAGTCAAGAAGAAGATACGAATATCTCACAAGAAATTATAGTGTTGGACTTTGGTGATGAGAGGCAAAGCACGGACTTCCTTCGCTCCGACAAGCCTGGTGGTGTGGCGTCTGAGGCAAACTTTGGAGGTAAATATATTTTATATTCTATATCTAATAATTGTTCCAAAGCGTGCCAACCGAATAAGCGGTAACATAAATTGAATATTAAGACCACATCAAGTAAATTCATAAATTATAAAACACAACTTGTTAAAAACAGAGTTAAGTACATAAACATTACAAAAACGGGTACCAAGATATTACTGACGGTGATAAGAGGCCTAAAACAAGAATAGTTTACTTCTTATTAAAGTTATTCAAGCTTGCGATTTTAAAGTTCTGAACTTGTATGATTAATACAGTAACAAATTTCAGACCTTATCAAGTGAATGATCTGATGGTTTCTTAAATATCTACTAATTTATGAACTTTCGTTACAGAAAAAACTGTCACGATCGTGGAACCCTGCCCCAGCAAGGCGTCAGTCCTTCTTCTAGGAGTCGCGTGTGCTCTGCTGGTTCTGCTATACATCGCGACGATTTTCTGTTACTACATGCGCAAGTGGCTGGCACCACCCAAGCACATGTCATAAGTCTAATTTGACAGAGGCTATGTGGACGTTGGTCTCGACAGAATAGGCAACACAAACGTTGTAATGCTTGTCTTGTACTGACGAACATGTGATACGAATGACTGACGAACATACTATTACAGTAAACATTTTATTCTTAGACAATATCCGTCCATTTAGTTTTAAGTTTCGTGGTGTTATAGGATTGTTTGGGATATGATCTTGACGTCAATGTTTGGTATATTTTTGTAACCACCGCGTGTTTTGCATTTAAATTAGGAGTAATTTATTGCATTTAGAAGCATTTATTAATATTAGTTAGTTATGACTAGAAAAAAGCATTCATATAAATCATTTAACCCCTTAATACTGCAGTGTCAAGGGTAATCTTTGCATTAATTAGATTATTTTAACAATATAAGAGAATGCATTTATTACAATGTTTAAGTAAGATTTTTGTACCCGTTGAGAGTAGAGAGACCATTTTTTGTACAATTTTGGAGTACTTATCATATCAGTAGTTAAAAATAATGTTTGGAATAATCCCTGGAAAATAGATGGCATTTGTATTATCATTATGTAGTTTTAAGGGATTATTCTGAATTAGCTACATTCGTAATTGTAGATTATAGGGATAATTAATTTTTGTAATAAGATAATTATAATAGTCACCTAACTATTTGCATTTTTGTAACACTTGCAATAATTGTCTTTCACAGTTTCTGACTAGTTCGAATAAACAATCACATTATGGGAAAAATAACTTAATGCAAGTTGTAAATATACTGTTATTCACTATGTGCTAAAATGCTTAGTATGATCTGGGAACTTTCAGTTGGGTTTTGAAGAAATACAAGAATTTGTAAACTTTTTGGTACAAAGCGTTAGTTGTTTCTCTTAACCCAACTTGAGATTTCTTCTTTATTTATTTAAATTATTTTTATTTATCTATTTATAATTCTTTCATTTGAATTAATAAATGAAATAAACTTGTACAAATTTACAAATGTTTTTATTCAGTAACTATGTAAACCTTGAAAATAGAATTGCTATTCAACCTAAATAAATACTTAACACTTATAGAATTATGACGGGCACCAGATCTTCTACGACAAGATTCTACGATACAAGGGGAGCTTCAGGTACAGGCTGTGCATTGGTTAACAGCTTGCTGTAAATACTACTCAAAACCTCTTCTTGAGTTTTAAAATCAATTTCTTCAGTTTTACATCCAAATACACTACTAAAGCATTTTAAAAATATTGGTGTTATTTTATCTACCGTGCAGATAACTCCAGTTTCCTTAGTGAGTGATGTGACACCTTTATCTTCTATGCCACAAGGGTCAATGTTTTCAAACCACGAAAGATCATTGTTACAGTTGATTGCAATGCCATGAGTTGTGACATACCTAGACGCATGAATACCTATTGCAGCTATTTTATTATCTTCAACCCAAACTCCAGTGTAGGGTGATCGTATACCTTTTACACCTGCATGATAAAAAATATCACTTTAAAAGACATGTGACGGAATAAGAATACGGAGTGTCATCACCCCTATTCATCTCATGGGTGTCATAGTTGTTAGTTAGGAGAGCAAAGTATGCAGGATAATAGCACTGTAAAGATAAAGAAAGTTAAAACAAAGCCTATAAGAACCTGTCTGGCCGGTGTGGTATAGTAGGCCAAAGCCTCCTTTCTAAGGAGAGGCCTATGACCAAAAGAGTACTATTAACGGCTGATGATGATGATGATTATTATATAATATATGCTACACTTTATAAAAGTTGCTTTATAGAAGTACACAAGTAAAGAACTGAATTACACATTAATTGATGATCAATTGGATATGCAATCTTTATTTAGGGTGCATGGACCCTTAGGCCTGGTACACCTACATGTGTTAAAAACAAAACCTTTATATGGATTATCAATTACATTTCATACTCAATAACTGTTTGCACACATGTTTGCTTTATATCACTACCTTACTAGATATTCTAACAACAAAAGAAGCTTACCCAGTTCACTACAAAGACTTATGACAGTCTCTTCTAAGCTATTGACATACCATTTGACACTTGTTTTGAAATGTTTCAAATTAATAATAGGATATGCCACCAGTTGACCTGGCCCATGGAATGTGATGAGGCCACCTCTATTAGTTTTCTTAAATTCTGCTCCGAGCTGTTTTAGTCTTGTTATTTCTTCTTTGGGTGTTTCATCTCGAATTCCTTCAAAATAAAATACATAAAAATCCCACAGTACCTTATTATAACATAGATTTTTATATAATTCCATAATTATGACTAAAGCGAAACTTAAAACTGCATTGATTTGTATAGACATGATAACTTAGAATAAACCTTTTAAATAGTGAATAATAAAATCATTTGTTAATTCCTATAGGCAATAATAAAATATTGATTTAAAATGAAAGCAAGTAAATATAAATATTTCCTAATAATAGCCAGAGATAGAAAAATAGAAAAGGATAAAAAGATATATTCGTTTTTCATATTTTTATTTATTAATGTTACCTTGCACAATAAACTACTTAAGCTTAAGTGAACTCAAATGAACACAAATAACCAGAATACCTCCTTGTGTTCATTTAATTTACAAATATCAAGGAAATCTTATGTACAAAGGTAAACATAAGCCATAGAGTTTTGTATATTAAAAAGGGAAATAGTATATGTTAAATATATATGGATTGATTATCTCGGTAATGTGTCACAATATAATTGACAAGACAAGCGTTATGCATGTACATCAGTAGTTTTTGAAGTACTTGTGATTCCTAGTAGCTTAAGTCAATTTTTGATTTAACTAACCAACAGTAAACACCGGTTTGTGTTCGACTAGTAGGAGTGTGTCAAAGTTTTCGTCGCGTCCTTGTAACAATGCATCCAGGTGTCTTCGAGCTAGTGCCCGCTGAATCTTCAGCGCGGTGTCGTAACTGATCATACCTAATCTCCAAACCCGAATCATTGTGGGTTTTATTTACCTTACAATTTATTATAATTGAAATGAATCCTTAAACAAAGCGATTTTTTTCGTTTTTTTTGGTATTTATTGTAGATTTATATAAAACAAAATATTATGTTGTACTTTGACATTGCTGACACATACTTTTTTTTCATGTCAATATCATTTTATTTAGCTGCCATTCAAGTACATATTTTTCCTACTTTAGGAATTGATATTTTATCTGTGCCACTCATAAAATCATAAGTGCAAAAGTACGTATAATTTGATCATTATTAATTTTATGACAAATATAATTCATCTACATAAGGGAGTTGTTTCATAGTGAATTAAAAATAAAGTGGGCCAGTAATAAAAATGCGTACAGTGCCACCTACTGTTAAAACAAAAATACTTTACGTTAAAACAAAATCTTAAAATGTGTTCCTCATCTTCTACTAAAGCAGTTCGGCTACTCTACGTTAGAGGGCACTATATTAAATAATTTCTTGTCACCTTTTGTGTATTTGTGTCTCTATACATGTTAAGGATGTTTATAGGTACTTACAACATCTTTCAGTTGGTTCAGTTTTCGGTGTTCCCTGTGAGTAGGGCGGTGTTTAACACGTTACGTAAAACCAGCTGGTAATATAAACATTGTATGAAAGTAAGAGTACACTCGTTCAGGACAAAATAATGTATTGTTAGGTCCATAGCCCTAATGGATGTCGTTATTTAAGTGTGTTATTGTGATTAGCATAGAATTGCCCATTTAATAGGTATAGAGGTGTAAGTGAAAAAATATTTAATATTTTAGTTAGTTTTATGTCGTGTTTGGACAAGGTATTAGTGAGATCAGAGATGTGGAGTTCTCTCAAGCGATGACAACAGGGGTAATCTTTTTTTTATAAATCCTACATAACGTTTCAAAAAACTAATAATTTTAGTTTATAATTATTACACCTTAGTAGTAACATAGCATAGATTTTTCACCAGGGTGTTTTGGTAGCAGTTTCCTTCAAGAACGTACAACATTATCTATTATTTCTTGCAAATGAAAATCATCATCGTATCGTTATTTTGATTCTCTAGAAATAATAGATAAGTAAATGTTTAAATCGAGTTTATCTTGAATTGAAGCAAATACGATCAGTTCACGACAAATACTGTATAGCATTTCCGTGCCCCCAGATAAATTAAAAAATGTGTGATTTCTTGACAAGAATTCATTAATTGTTTGTTATTGAACATACATAATATTGTTAATAAACTTCGTGTATGTAATTATATGGCTCGCAATTCGAGATTTCGTAAACTTATATTTTACTTTATACTTTTCAGTTATTCTTTAATTGAGGGAATAAATGTGGTAGGAGTCATTAAATATAGGTATTGGATTGGTCTGACTACAGTGTACCTACTTGAATTGATAGGATTGACTTTTAACAAAAAAGTCAACTACAGATTGGTCTATGGCAATGTCTTATAGCTTATGTATATTTCAGCCTTCGCTCAATTGGATATTATCGTACGCACATTAAATAAATATTATCGTATCTCTCTTTATGGCATTCACTTACCGCGCGACTTTCCGTGGTAACCAATCTATCCTTTTCGGAAGAAAACAATTAATATATAGGAAGATAGACCCATAAAAATATTACATAATTGTAGTGTATAATTTCGATGACTGGCACATAATGCATGCTATCGACGGTTCTTGCATAACCAGTAATTCTTTTGCAAGCTTAAATACTTTTAATAAAAGTATTATTAGAACATACTGATCTAATCGATAATGCACAAAATAAATTTTGACGTTACTTGATTTTTTGGTTTATTGATAATCTAACATTTTTAATTCACTAAATCGGTAAATTTAATGTTTCAAACACCATTTTGGCATCAGAACAACGAAATTATTATTGTTTATTGGTGATCAGCACAGCCATTTCAGTTTAATGATAATGAATTCTGGATTAGGGATATCATGTTAGTCATTATAAGTAGATGTTATTTCTGTATTACATTTTAGTTAACAAATAACTTAAAAAAATAAGTGGCGTGGTGCACGGAACGAGTTTACAAGAGGATTGCAGATATCATGCATTACATATTATGCATTACACACATTACTATTATTTACATTATTTTTATTAGGTAGGTACACACATTATAATGTACAGAAGTGCACATATTTCTTTCACATCACATCACATCAACAGCCTTTAATAGTCCACTGCTGGACATAGGCATCTCCTTAGAAAGGAGGTTTTGGCCTACTACACCACGCTGGCCAGACGGGTTGGTGTAGGGTTTGTGTCAAGTTTCCTTCTCTTTGCAGTGCTGGTTGTCCTACGTTAGCTTCCTTAGTCGCCTCTTACGACACCCACGCCACGGGATGAATAGGGGTGGTGACACTCCGTATTCTTAATCCGTCACTACACGGACATATATATTTCTTTAATAAATATGAATACAACTCAATAAGCTTTATCGTTAGATAGTGTGTTGTTGTACTACTTTTGTTTTCACCAACAAAAGTAGTAGTGCAAAACAGAAATTTCTCATATGTCAGTAGGAATAAAACCTCACAGAGAAACGGAAACTGTCTGACCCTAAGGCAAAATGTTACGTGACCATATACTAGCATATACCGATCTAAAGTCGTAGCTGTGCCTTAGTCATCTTACGTACCTTTATTTCTTTTTAAATACACGTTGCAATCGGGCAGGTACGAAATATATAATGATATAGAGAGAGGTTGATATGGACAAGACATTTCCTACTAATAAATGGAAAAGCAGAAAAATAGTGCATCACGCTATTGAGTCAAGTTTAAATTTAAGTAACTAGTTAAAACATGTGAGGTTGTAATCAGACTAGCATAACCAAAGTTGTAAGCTATCATGCAAAACACATCAACAATATCATCAACTTCTTTTAACGAAAGCGCAGTTTATTTGAGGTCAATGCCCTAACTGTACGGCCATGGGTTCAAAACCGCTAGTAAGGTAAACAAGCGCTGTCTATAGTTTAATTGGTAGCAGGAAGGCGGTCGCTTCCCGTCCTGCCGCTATTTATAGTTCAATAGCTCGACAGGGCTGATTTGTAGGGGTTCGGTGCGTATGCGCATAAAAAATGAACACCAGGTTCGGGTCGATTATTGATTTATAACATGACTTGCTGTCACACGTGTGAGACAAATTGGTATTTAGTGTAGACGGTAACCATTATTATTAGGGGTCACTGTGTTATACGTAAATAAAGGATAGGTTAGTAGATAGGTAGGTAGAATATTTGTTATAATACACCACTAATAACATACAACTCAAATAAAAGGTTTTTGATAATAGCTATGTAAACTAACTTTTAAATGGATAATATGGTAGAAAATATTAAGGTCTAAGTGACCAGTGCCAGAGCATGAGCATCCAACTGTGAGTGAATTAAATATGGTATTTATATACCATAATGACCTAATGCCATTATGTCTAATTCTGTTCTAATTTCTATCCCCAATTGTAAACAACGTAATAAAAGTGAAGGAAAATATATCACAAAGGGATATTTTCTTCCGCTCATGTGTTTTTGTCTACATTTATTACGTCTCTTGAAAATATTGATTTGATTGTTTTTCAGTGAATGTCTTTTGTCCGTATAATAAATATATATTATGTTTAACAAATAGAAACAATGAAACACGTTTTAATGACAAGTTGAACTGAAAAGTTTAGTAACCTGTTTGTAATCTACCTCAGTGAAACGACACGAGTTGAATTTTTTTATTTATTTGTGTATACCTACGTACATATATCTTTTCTTTCTTTCTTTCTTTAAAAAGACAACTCCCGCATTAGGAATATATCCTGTGTCGCGGGGGACTTTACAAACATACATGAAACGGACACAAAGAACACCCAGACTTAGAACAACAATTTGTGGATCACACAAAGTGTCGTCCCATGTGGGGTTTGAACCCACAACACTCGGCACAGTAGGAAGCGGCGTGGCGACCGCTTAAACCACTGCGCCATCCGTGCAGTCAAATATATATATATATATAAGTCTACTCACTCGAAGACTATTCGCTCTTAAAACGTAAACTCTAAAACTGAATCTCATACTAATGTGTTTACATCTTATCAAGCATACGTTTTCCATAGGTAAGATCTTGATTAAGATGAATTTTATTGCTGTACGTTTTAAAACTTTCAAAGTGTTTGATGTGTATGATAGTTTTAACGTCTTATATAGGTAATTACTATTTTGAGTACGTTTTTGAGTTATCAGTGCCATTGTTGAACTATTAGTCCCCAAATTTAACCAATTGTTAATTTTTTTCATTGGATGGTAAAGTATAAATACTCAATACAAGTAGTATTCAAAACTATTTGACCCAATAAAAGTTGTCTAGGCCTAATTTAAATCAATTTGTTCGTGTTCCTTGTGAGTTATTTAAAATAGTTTCTTAAGTTCTACAATTACTACAAAGACAACGTCTTGTTAAATTATGTGGCGTAATGGTCAAAATTACTTATTACTGCGCCACATAATTTATTACATAATTTATTATATATATCGGACTATTACCCATAGGGTAATAGTCCGATTTAAGGTTTCGATTTTGTCTCAGTGCTGATATGTGTATTTATATAGATGTCTATTTACAGTGGTCTAAGTGTTTCTGTTTTTAATTTAGAATTAGTATTTATTTAATACACTGACTGTTTACAAAAACAAACTTACTGGAGTACGTTTATACCTAGTTTGGCTGTAGATGGTAATATGTTACAGAATATCCTAATAATTGTACTTCGTGTACAGACTAATTAGACATTATCTTACAGTATTAGCGCACTACAGACAGGCATATATATACTCATACATTCAAACATACACACACATATTCACACACGCGCAAAAGATACTTTGAGGTATCCGGCATGTTGTCTATTTCTCCTTTTCTTTTAAGATGGGTTGCGTATTCATACATTGGTAGCCTTATGATTTTCATCTTCTCT